TCTAGAGGCTGATGAGGGAAAACTCTCTCACACACACACACACACACACACACACACACACACACACACACACACTCACACACGCGTCTGAGTGGTTTCCCCTGCTGGTTCCGGGACTTGAACCTGCAACCTTCCAGAGGCAGACAGCCTCGTTAGCCTTCGGGCGCGTTAGGGCGGATCACGGCCTCCTCGCGATGGGAATCCTGCGTATTAATTATGGCGGCGAGACGGCAGAACGTGCACACACACACACACACACACACACACACACTCTTATACAACCAACCAACAGTGGGCTACCATCACGCCAACCAAATGCGGAAAAAACTAAAGGGAAGTAGAACATGTATGAATTATATTCATTTTATTTTATTTCGTACAGCCTGAAGTGATGAATTACAAACTCGTCTCACTGCCGAGGGGACCTGCATCTTACCTGTAAAGCATGCGCGACCATCATACATCATTTTATTTGAGGGTTTTCATTTTCGTTTGAACGACGATGTAAATATTAAGACGTCTGTGGGCTGCGGATGGTTAATAGGATTACCGTCACCCCGTCACAGGCTTCTACTGTGAATCATTATTTAACTAGAGTTAAATAATGCTGTTGTTTGAGCATCTTCAAAAGCATTATTTAAAAAAGCTAATTCATGAAAATTGAATAATGAAAAAACACCTTTGTGTAACTCTGTATGCGTCAGTCTCTCTCTCTCCCCCCTCTCTCTCTCTCTCTCTCTCTCCCACCCTTGTAATGGGTGTGTGTGTGTTCTAATGCTGTGAGTTTTAATTGCAAAAAAATAACATTTAGGAGCTGAGAATTAGGAACATTTTCTATATCCATCACGGTAAATTATATTAATGTGAGTGTATGAAATGAGCTGTGAAAATAAAGAATATTACGAATATTTAAATATTTAATATTTAATTTAATTATTATACAAGCATTTTTATTCATTTCAAGTAATCTGAAAAAGCTGTAAAACGATTTACAATTTTCTCTTTTTTTAATTATTATTCTTTAGTAATAAATACTCACTATTTAAGAGAAGGCTGACGCTGCCTTTGAATTGAAATGGGGAGCAGCTCATCCCAGATTCATGCGTTCATCCCCCTCTACACGTCTTGTCCCGTGGTGGACTCACCTGGTTGGCGGCGGCGGCGGCGGCGCAGGGGGCCAGCGTGAGGACGGGCAGCTCCTGTCCCTCCGGCCGGCGGGACTCCAGACAGTTCTGCCTCTGCCTGACGACCCCGGACTGAGAGTCAGAGTCGTCCGGCACTCTGAGGCGACAAAACGCACAATTTATACACGTTGATGCCGAAAATCGCAACAATCGCAGCTGGAAACCGAGTGAGAAAAGATCTTTTCGGTTCGTTCGAGTGACACTTTTATCTCCGAAACCACATTGACTCAAAGCGGAGCCACTGGGTTTGGAGGACGCGTCGTTTCAATGTGAAAGACGCACTAACCGCCTCGCTGAGATGAGACACGAGACCCCGATCACCTCCACCAGCGTCTCATCAACGGCATCCGGAGACCACAGGTGATGATGCTCCTTCGACGGACCCGCTTAAGGCCGCCTGCTCCAAACTCATTACTTCACAAAGTTTCTTCCCAATCTCCCTCTTTGATGAACTTTCTCAGTCGTCGGCCGCGCTATAAACTCGGGCTGAAGCCCTGCAGCATTAATTCAATCTGCTATCTCCTTCTGTTTTAATAACCCGTTAAAGGTTATTCCGCGTTTTTAAGGGTCGGGTCCGTCGTCCCCTGAGAGGCAGCCTGTTAATTCCATTCAGGGGGATTAACAGCAGCCTTGAGTGGATAAACGGGTATTTAAATGTATTTAAATGTGTGTGTGTATTGAAGTGTGTTGGAAAGATGGAGTGTTTAAGTGGTTAAATGAGAGAGCGTGTGTCTCAAAGATTTTAGTATTGGCATTTTTTGTTGGTGTAAAATGCATAAACAGTGTGAACACAAAGAATGACTGAGTGTTTTTGTGTGTTTGTGTGTCTGGGTGCGGACGTGACTGAGGGAGCTCAGCCAATCAGGACGAGGGGGAGACACCCAACGAGGTGCACAGAAAGAGAGAAAGAAAAATACCACTTTTGGCTATTTTTCCCGGAAAAAATATGTTCTTTCTGCCGAGCCAAGAAGAAGAAGAAGAAGAATTCAGAACCAAACCGCTTGTATTGTCGCCTGCGCTCCCAAAATAAATAAACAGACACAAAAACAGAACACATTGCATCTTTAAAATGCCCCGAACGGGATTAAAGACTCCAGTCTGTCTGCGACGCTTCCCAGCAGAAGGACGGATAAGTTCATGCACAACAAAACACACACACACACACACACACACACACACACACACACACACACACACACACACACACACACTTACTTGAGCTCTGGGTAGACGTTGTCCAAGTACCACTTGAAGGATTTGCACTTGAGCTTCTTGCGGAGCTCCACTCTGCCTCGGATACTGGTAACACACAAACACACACACACAGTGAGGACGGGGTACAAAGGACACACGCAAACACACACAGTGAGGACGGGGTACAAAGGACACACACAAACACACAGTGAGGATGGGGGACAAAGGACACACACAGACACACACAGTGAGGACGGGGGACAAAGGACACACACAAACACACACAGTGAGGATGGGGGACAAAGGACACACACAGACACACACAGTGAGGACGGGGGACAAAGGACACACACAAACACACACAGTGAGGACGGGGGACAAAGGACACACACAGACACACACAGTGAGGAGGGGGACAAAGGACACACACAAACACACACAGTGAGGACGGGGGACAAAGGACACACACAAACACACACACACACACACAGTGAGGACGGGGGACAAAGGACACACAAACACACACAGTGAGGACGGGGGACAGAGGACACACACAAACACACACAGTGAGGACGGGGGACAAAGGACACACAAACACACACACAGTGAGGACGGGGGTCAAAGGACACACACAGACACACACAGTGAGGACGGGGGACAAAGGACACACACAAACACACACAGTGAGGACGGGGGACAAAGGACACACACAAACACACAATGAGGACGGGGGACAAAGGACACACACAAACACACACAGTGAGGACGGGGGACAAAGGACACACAAACACACACAGTGAGGACGGGGGACAAAGGACACACACAAACACACACAGTGAGGACGGGGGACAAAGGACACACACAAACACACAGTGAGGACGGGGGACATAGGACACACACAAACACACAGTGAGGACGGGGGACAAAGGACACACACACAGACAGTCAGATCTCCACTGAGGGACGCGGTCACAGCGTCTTCGGGCCGATAGTGGACACCTGCACGCGTTTAAATGTCAGCGCGTCGCTGCGTCTGGCTGATAAACGCTGACATTTCAGCGTCCTCCTGGACTCGTCTGCGTCCCGCTGCGTCTCTCGCGTCTCTCGCGTCTCTCGCGTTGATCGAATCGCTGGAGCCGAACTCGAGTCCGATGTAAAACGTTTATTTTCGCGTCTGAAGAGCAACTTCTCCAGATGGAAAAGCTTCAGCTAAACTTCACCCACTGGGAGCTTGTTAAGTTATTGATGTTCTGGTTAAACGTCTCTTCTGTCCCGCTGGTGTCTCCGTAGTGTCTGTCCAACTTTGCCACTATTGCAAATCAATACCCGGCTTCCTCTGCGTCCCTCTTTGAGTCAAAGGAGGCTTCTGCTAAAGATGCTGCTTGGAGAACTAATTCCTCTTTAAGAGATTACATTTCTACAACTGGAGCCAATCTGCAGAGTTCTGAAACCTCTTTGCTGTTAGAATTTCAGTGTCTTTTTTTCTGGGATTTGATTGTTCAGAGAAAAAAACGAGGAAGTGAGAACGTTTTCATCTTTAACCAGCAGACGGTTTATTTCCTCTGTTGCTTTTCAAAGAAGAAGACGATGTTCTCTTCACAACCACGCCCACTAAATCACTGCTTACTGGAGGAAAGAGCCGTCGGCGAGCACAGGCTGGTGTGTGTGTGTGTGTGCGTGTGCGTGTGCGTGTGCGTGTGTGTGTGTGTGTGTGTGTGCGTCCTTACTCTCCGTAGGATTTGCCTCGTGCGGCCGGTCGAGCTGAGTAGTAGAAGAGACGGAAGTCGTCCATCCACACTTCGGCCGTGCGGCGCGTGTTCCTGTTTCCACGGACACACACAGCAGAGAATTAAGAGCACGTTCACGTCTGCAGCCGCGCGTCACACTGGGGAAACGTGGAGGAAGAGACACGTCTCGAGGGAGAAACGTCCCCTCTGGCTGTGGACACCCGCCATCGACCTGTTGTCTCCTCTCTCGTCCAGATCATCAGACCCGCGCTGCAGGTTCAGGTCTCGCTCAGCTCGCTGTGTCAAACTGGGGGCGCTCCATCCTTTATCTGTGACCCCCCCTGTGTCTGTGTGTGTGTCTCTGTCCGTGTCTCTGTCTGTGTCTCTGCCCGTGTCTCTGTGTGCAGTAATCAGCTATTAGCCGAGTGTCTCTGAGCTGTGAACTACCTCATTGAGAGAACCCGTCATTAGAGGCTGTAATGACGGGGGAGGAAGGGAGCTGCATACAAACATAAACACGTGTCACACGCAGGCTTACAAATAAATACCAATCACACACACACACACACACACACACACAGACAGACACACACACACACACACACAAAGGGACACACGCACACAGGGACACGGGAAACGGCAAAATCTGTCGCATTTTCTTCGACACTTGTTTTCTGTGATCTCTCTCCTTCTTCGTGTTGTTGTTCACCACGTTTCCCAGAATGCAGTAGAAGTTTTAAAGGATATTTTCCGTCATATTTATTATGTATTTGTGCGTTTAGTGCGGAAGACACGTGGAGTAAACGATGGTCCATTTAGAGTCAAACTGACCATAAAGAAGAGGACGCTTTGGATCAAAATGCCAACAGATGACGTCCTCTTCTCATACACTATATATATGTATGTATATATAAGTATATATACATATATAAGAGCGCCTCCAGTTTGTGTGTCTGCGTTTAGTCTTCTTAATACTGGATCAATCCACACTTAGTCTGAGCACATTAGTGCTGCTGATGGATTACAAACACCGCGGCTTGCAGCGTTTCAAAAGGGCCGAGAACAAAGCTCACGCTAATAGGATGACATCGTGCTCGCGGCTCAAAGGCCGTAAATCCACTTTGACCGCGACGCGAGCGGCCGACCCCGAGGCTCAGAGCGCACGGCCAATCAGAGCGCACGGCCAATCAGAGCGCTGGAGCTTTGACCTACGGCACAATGTCTTGAGATGGCCACGCCCCTTACTTGATGTAGGTGTTGGCGTTGCCGTCGGGGAAGACGTACGGGTGTTTCTTCCTGAAGACGTGTCCCACTCTGCTGCAGGGGAGGATCTCCAGACTCCCCCCACACTGCCACACCCGGAAGGAGATCTCTGCAGGCACACAGGCACACGTGCTTAGTCCACCAAACGCCCCCGACACCATGTGGAGGCCGGATGAGCTCCGGCTGCGTAACGTTCCATCTCTCCGCTCTGCATCCTCTTTGTGCATTATGAGGCTTTTCTGTTGATGTTGGTCCCTGTGGAGGAGGAGGAGCAGGAGGAGCAGGAGGAGCTCTGACTGCAGTGAAGGTGGATCCGTCCACGTGGACGTGCGGTAGTCAACTGAACCAGTGTCTCCTCCACCCGCTCACAGCGAGCTAACGCTACGTGGAGGACGTTTCCCCAAAGAGCGAGACGCTGCCAAACTAAAGTTAAACCGCAACCGAGAAACAGAGAGAACAGACAATAGAGATGCAGAGAGGGAGAGGGAGAGGGGGAGAGAGGGAGAGGGAGAGGGGGAGAGAGGGGGAGAGAGAGAGGGAGTTTGATGAGACTGAGGAGAGATGGAAGTGGAGATGAAACACCAGAGAGTACAAAGGAGAACAAGAGAAGTCAGACAGATACGAGGTACTGACACAGAGCCTGAGAGACTGACAGCTACACCGCAGAGAGCAAATGAGAGAGCGTGCGTGTGTGTGTCTGTGTGTGTCTGTGTGTGTGTGTGTCTGTGCGTGTGTGTGCGTGCACGTCGGGAAGGGAGGAAAAACAGGCTAACAGTCTTTCATCAATCAGAGCAGCAGTTCAGCAATCAGCAAACTGACTGAAAGAGTCTGAGGGCAGACACGCACACACACACACACACACACACACACACACACAGACACAGACACACATACACACACTGAGGTGGCAGCAGCAGGAGATCCAGATGTTGCTGCTGGACTGATGTCAGACGTTAACGGCGCAGAATGAAAAGTTCACCTTCACTCAGCTGCTGTTAAAGACGCGATGTTAATATTTGACGTTATAATTTCTACAGCTTGTGTGTCATAGTTTATTGTGTGGGGGAGTATTTGTAAAGTCCACCTCATGACAGCTGAGAATAATAGATTCTAACATTGACTCCATGATATGAAATGACACTTTATTTGTGTTGCAGACGCTCGTCATGTGGTCAGCAGGACTCACCGAAGTTCTCCCCGCCCCAGATGTCCATGGCCGTGTCGTATTTGCCCAGGTGATTGAACCAGGACCTGTCGATCACGAAGAGGCCGCCCGCGATGATGGGGGTCCTGTCAGAGAGTAAACAACAACAACAACAGAGACGACACGTCAGTGGTGGGTGAACAAATTACATTCAGTCACGCTTGTGCTTTAATTTCTCCAGATTCTAATCTAACTGAGAAGTAAAAAGGCTCATTCATCCTTTGTTGATCACACACACACACACACACACACACACTCCTCACACTACAGAGGCTTAATCATTATCTGGACAATGTGCTGAGTGAATAGTTGAGGTCCAGCACGTGTCATCAAATTCCGTCTGTTAATCAACAATTATCCGCCTCAAAATAGCACTCTGTTTGTGTGTGTGTGTGTGTGTGTATGTGTTATTGTGTGTCTGTGTATGTGGGCGGAAGCACATAAAACCCTTTCCAAGCTCAGTTAGTCATTGTGTGTGTAGAGTTTGTGTGCATGTAAAACACTTTTATTTGTGTACAAGTGACAGAACTAAATAAACTAAACTAAATAAAAATAACTTGGCAAAAGGATCTCGAAAAGTATCTCTTTGCATATTTGTGTGTATCTTTGTGTGCTGTTGAAGTTTGGATCTTTGTGAGGTTGTCATATTAGGACTGAGGGGGATGAAGAAACATGGCATATTTCTTTGGTAGAGACCTGTCAATCAGCATGTAGCCCCGCCCTAAAGCATCCCCTGCTTCATGGTCTGTTTGACTCTACATGGACCATAATTCACTAAATGAACATCATGCTGTATTGAAGAAGACATGAAACTAGAGACTGAGACCATAAACTCATGTTTACAATGTTTACTGAGGGAATAAATCGAATCGTTTTTTCATAGACGTCTATGGGAGCAGAGGAGTCGCCCCCTGCTGGTCACTACACAGAATGCAGGTTTTGCTTCACGGAACCGAAGGAAGCCTCCGGCCAAACAGAAGCACTTTTAGTGCTTGACGCTGCCGAATGGCCTCCACATCAATGCTGCTGCCTGCAGCACGTAGTTAACACACAACAACCGGATAAAACACGTCTGCTCGGTTTATTGGCTCCGCGTCGCGCTGCCTCACCGGTACGGGGAGAGTCGATGAGACTAACACGGACCGGGTGACTCAGTGCAGCCCCCCCAGGTAGACGATGTGCAGACAGGAGCAGCACACACACGTCGAAGTAGAGACAGACCATCCGAACACACGCACACACAATCTGTGGGTGTTTAAAACCCAGCTTAAAGTCAGACACTCACTAGTTGGCACAGCAGTAAATCTGGCTTCCTGCCACAGACCTGACTTATGGAGGAGGAAGAGTGCCAGAGCTTATTATTCATAACTGTGTGTTTGTTTAGAGCCGCTCTGCCTTCACGTTGTCTGCTGCGCGCCCAGCAGGGGGCGCCGCAGCAGCAGCGGGGCGACGCGATGAAGCGGCAGCGACGCATTGTTTGAGGACGAGCCACCAAACCGCATCTCAAAGATCATATATGCATCGCTGTTAGTGCATCGCACACGCAAACATTACATTGCATTGTGTGTGTGTGTGCGTGCGTGTGTGTGTGTGTGTGTGCGTGTGTGTGTGTGTCAGCGGGTCACTTGATTGGCTGGGTCGGGTCGGCCCGGCGAGCTCTCTGCTCTGCAGACAGCTGCTCCCACTTGAAATGGAGACTCCAATCAAAACCTGAAGGAGAAAGGTACGAAAACACAAACATCGCGGCAAATAAGACATGAGACGGATTTGTAGGTGAACAGATCGATTTTGTAATCCCGTTAAAATCATTTTCATTATATTCATTTATTTTTTTTAAATGTGAAGCTCTAAGCGCCGTGAATAAACTTAAACACAGGAAACTGACAGCGTGTTCTCATAACCGGCCTACAGTGTGTTTAAAACAATAAACTACGGACGTAGCTTTTAAGTTTCCTCGGTTCTGTCATCACAAATACTTTGAAGAATAAAAGCTATAAATTCAGACCAATGACTGACAGACGTGTATTTATTGTTACATTTTGAATGATCTTCTGTCTGTTTCGGTGTGTGTGGACGTACAAGAAGGCAAACACGTGTGTGTGTGTGTGTGTGAGAGCGGTTGGCAGCACCATTATGGGCGTTGATTGGCGGCTCGCTGTTACCAGGAGGAGAAGATTGGACTAAGACGGACTAATGGAGGAGAAAAGGCAGCAGGAGGCTCTCAGGGAGAGAAGTGAGCGGCGGCACCGATGTGTGTCGTCCGGCCTTTGGCTCCTCTGTGACGGTGTGAGACGCGTGGAGCTTAAAAACGGGAAGAAGGTCGTCCTCAGACGGACGCTCACCCGTGATTCATCCACCAGTTTACCGCCCCGATAATGGTCCTCCGCCCAGCCTCTGCCCAGCGGGAGAAAGAGGCCCTAAAGAGGCCTCCTCCATCCGAGACACGCTGCCCTACGTAGCCACTCAGCACCAGTTGCGACGCGTCTTTATTGGTTGGTATTTTTCAAAATAAACTTGAAAAATGCCTCGACGGGGAAGCACTTAATACGTAAGGCACTGCATTCAGATGCCAAACGCTTGGCTGTATGCGTACGATTCACTTGCTGGTCTGCTCATCTCTTAAGCTGCGTGGTGGGAGGAGCCTCCTGCACCACCCGTTTATTCCCCTGCAGCGTAGATGCGGGAGCTTCCACGTACCTCCCCGGAGATCGGCGGAAGCCGCCACGTAGGCGAACGTGTCCATGTTGATGATGTCGATGACAGGGCTGACCACACAGGTCGGGTCCTGCACACAGACCCCCCCCCCAGAAACACACACGCGTTACACAACTTACACATCAATGACAAACACATTGTAGCTCAGAGAGTGACGGAAAGTGAAAAGAACTGGAGACACGTGGACTGTGAAGGTGGACGTGTTATTGCGTGCAGACCATCAAATTCCAAAGCAATTAATTACTTTTTCAGTGTGTGTGTGTGTGTGTGTGTGTGTGTGCGTGAGTGTGTAAAACATTTCCAAGGTCCTTTTTCAATATTGTGGCACATTAAAGGAATTTGAGTGGTTCAGCAGCATCACGCCTGCAGCACGGCGAGGAGGGAGTGACCTCTGCCTCCAGTTCGGCTCCGTTTATTCACTTCGCCGCCGTTAATGGCCGGCTGTCGAGACATGTGAAGAAAAGACACGCTGAGTGAAAGGAGTCTTCGTCAGGACGGAACAAAAGGAAAGCCACGCGGTGAATGCAGAGCGGGCCGATGGAGGCACAACAGCACGGCGGCGAAATTGGTCGTTTCATCTTGTCGTTGTTTGGATTTGTAGTGAAAACATTTGAAAACTGACCTCACTACACTTCCTACATCATCATCATCCTCATCATCATCATATCTGCTGCATTCTTTACTGAATATTATCTCCCATTAATAATAATTCAGCAGGTACAAACTTCCACTTTCTGTACCAGGACATCAGTAGACGCGTTGTGTCCTTGTTGTCTCCTTGTTGTCTCCTGGGTGAAAGTGCCGTGTTTGTTTGGGTCTCTTAGGGGACGTCTGTGCTTTATTGAGATGCTTTAAATGTTTAATGAGCTGGTTAAAGCTCAGAAAGGTTGAATTAATCCTCCAGCAGAGGATAATTAAATTGATTCTGTTGAAATGCGGCTTAGAATATAGACGATAAAGTGTAATGGATGAAAAAAAAGGCAAAGTTCCTTCGCTCTCTATAGAGAACACGGCTTCACGGTGGTCATGTGATCACCTGGATCAATACCTCATTTAAATCTAAATATATGACTATGAAGTGACTGTTCAGACAGTGATGGATGACTCTGCTGCACACGCACACACACGCACACACACACACACACACACACACACACACACACACACACACACACACACACACACACACACACACGCTGTGATGATGTTGGTACAGCAGCAGGATCTGATCGGGCTCTGTGGTTTACTTATTGATCGCTGCTCTACGGATGGAGATCAAAGGTCTTTAATATCAGCAGCAGTCGAATAAGTTCACTCTGCATTAGAGATTCAGTTATTGGTGAAGTTAATTTATGGGAGAAAGGAGAAGAGGAACCAAAAAGGAGAGAAGAAAGAAAAAGTCGGTGCAGAGGAGGTGAAGAAGAAGAGAGGAGGCAAAGGACTGGAATGAGGAGTGAGGACACGAGGTGTGAGAAGCCACACAGGTTATGAGAGGACAGGAGGACGTTTAAGGAGAGAGGGAGGAAGACGAGGAGACAAAGGGAGGCCTTTGTCTCCTCGTCTTCCTCCCTCTGACATACAAATGTATGTAAGAGAAGAGGAGGCGATGTGAAGAAATGAGGTGTGAGGGTATAGGGAATGAAGACCAGGTAGGAAGGAGAAGTGGATGAGAAAAGGACATGTGAAGTGAAGGAGGAGGAGAGGGAAAGGTCGGGGGAGAAATGATAGTGAGAGGGCAGGAGGAAATAAGAGGGGAGGGATGAGGAAAGGAGAAGAAGAAGGAGGAGGAAGGATGAGTTGAAGGGCAGAAAGGAAGAGAGGGGAGGAAAGGACACACAGGCGGTAAGAAAAAAACACACAACACCTTCAGAATGAGGAAGCGAGATTACAAGGTGACAGGAGGCGAGACGAGGAGAAGAGGAAGAGGAGGGACACAGAGAGAGAGAGTGGGGGGAGGAAGAGGGTGGGAGTCATGGTGAAGAAGAGAGTGCAGCACTTATTTCTTAATGAGAGGCAATCAGACCGAAAGCTATTTACTCCCACGGCGTGTTCTCACCCCGGACCACTGGAATCATCACACACACACGCACACACACACACAGACACACACGGTGTGTGGGGGGGGTCTACCTGTTTGATCCTCTGCAGCAGGGGGGGCAGCCAGTCCTTGTTGACCTCGCAGTGGCTGTCCAGGAAGGTGAGGACGGCGGCCCTGGCGGCATCGGCGCCGCGGACTCTGGAGCGGATCAGACCTGACGCACAAGCGGAGAGCTTCATTCACGTCGCCATGACGACCAGACGACAACTTACGGATGCAGCAGCAGCGCGTGTCTTCGTTTTGACCTTATTCCTTCTTTCTTTATTTTCAGTGTCATTAGAAATCTATTGTTGGTGAAAAATTAAGCTAACTGTCGTATTAAACTGAAATACCGAATTAGCATCATGTTCTTAAAAGTCTTTTATTATTATCAAAACACTGAGGTGACTCATGTTGGTACTTATTATTTTATTATTATTGTTTTATTTCCCATGAATATAAACATATTACTTCTCACTCTTTATATTTTCTCTCATTTCATCAATTTCTTTTCTCCATTATTCAATTATGTCCCGATTGATTCCATAATAAATGTCATTCTTTTTTATGTACTGTGTAAAGATGCACCACATTTTATGTTGTCATTATTCATTTGGATAAGTGAGTAGTAAATGTTACTTCACGGGCGGTTTTATGGCGGATGATTACAGTCGCGGGTTTGAATCCCGCTTCCGACAACCAGCTGACATCGTTAGTCCCTTGCTCAACTCCCCCCCCCCCCCCCCTCCCAGTCAGTGAAAGGGGAAATCAATGGTGGGCTCTTAGAGGCCTGTCGGACATGGACACAAGCTTTTAACAGGCCCCTCACACTGTGCATGTGTGTGTCCGCTGTGTGTGGCTGTGTAGTGTGTGTGTGTGTGTGTGTGTGTGTGTGTGTAAATGAGCCTGTTAGGGAGGCCTCCCTGATGCTGCTCCTCTATTTGGACTAAATGGTCTAATCGATACTCGCTGACATGGAGACGTACTCTGTGTGTGTGTTCTCTTTGAATAACTGTGTACCAGGCTGACATTGTGTGTGCGTTAGCGTGACTTTGTACTTGGGTCCATTGTGTGTGTGTGTGTGTGTGTGTGTCGGTGACATTGTACAAAGGGCCGTGAGGTTTCACGCTGCGCTGTTAGGCCGAGGCTCAGCCAATTAAAAATCCCATTC